TCCGACATTCCTTCCAATCAAAACTACGTTCACAAAGTATTCACAAAAATTTTAACTTCCATAAATATTCTGCCCAAAATAAAATATTCGTATGCACGATATACTGTTTCATTTGTTTTTTCCAAAACTCTTTCTTCACAAAGATGAACATGCGAAGAGAAAAAAAACGTTATGGGTTATAGCTTGGACGAGATTGATCCAGTCGTTTCGCTAAAACGTTGTAACAGATTGCACAGGAATGCTTGTCACGGCCACTCGTCGTCGTCGGCCAATGAGATTACACGTCGGAAAGACACGAGGGGGATGCGAAGAGAAATCGAACTCGCGTGGAGGTCGTCGATATTGCGAGCTTAATGCCCGCCCTCTGTGACAAGCGTGTCATTTCTGATTACACAACATTCTTGGCATTCCAGTTTCAAGTTTATGCGCAAACGTGGCCGCACACCACGATTCCTATCCTAGTTGATTGCGATTCTCGAAGCTGTCAACAATCGAAGGGAGGGGTGGGAGGGAGGGGAGGCAAATTACGATTTCGAATCTAATTTACCAATCGAGAACGTTGGCTAAGAAGCGTATTTCGAAATTGTTCGCCTCTCATCGATCTTCGTAAATATGAAAGCGTCGGTTTCTATTTTGAGAAAGGCCATTGTAGGATCAAGTTCGATCGGATTTCGAAAATAATTGAGCACGAGTTCGATAAAATTTATATCTATTTATTAAACTGCTGTGTTTCGACGAATATTTTTTAGTTTTTTTCTCAGAGTCAAGTGTCTGACAAATATGTCTTCATCAGATCAGATAAGAAAGTAAGCCGTATTGCTAACGACAAATAAATGAATAATAAATGTAATTATAGACGTTGGAGCAAATTTTTTATCGATTATAAAACTTATAAATAATATATTATAAAGAACGTGACAAAAATTTGAGGATTGATCTTGTCAGCATACAATCCATTTTAATCGATCTCTTTAGATTAGATTTTTCACGAATATGTAACACAACATATATATATAAACATTTTTACGGATATACATTTGTTAAAAAAGAAAAATAAAAGTAAAATGTCACGGAATATCATGTTCATTCTTTTTCACGATAACTCATCCACATTTAAACTATCTTCCATTCTAAACTAACCCGTCAATCTCTCTATGAATTGATTCATAGGTTGTACGTCCATTCCATTAATCCTCCTCGTCGCTCGTCCAATTCTAATTGATTTTTTTCCCCCCTCCACCGAAAAATCGATTGTCAATTAATCGGCGGTACGCAACAACCAATTGCGTTGAATTTTAATCAACACACTTTTGCTTCGTTTGACAATGGTCGTCGCCATAACGTTATCGTTATTATCATCGTTCAACGTCGGATGGAGGGGGGGGTGAATGGTCGTCAGAATCGGTCGTATGCACAGGTATGCTGTTAACGCGAGTTATTTCATTGTTGCCACTCGTAACAGATGTTTGCGGCCGGTGGAAAAGGCTGTGATTGTGACCCATTTCACCCGCGAACCCGAGGTGGAAAGGTTTTGGGGCCAAAATTTTACCCAACGAATGAAGGCTACTTTAACTTCCGTTCAATCGCTTCAAAGCATTGTGGCGTAATGTTTATTGTTTTCACGTTTATTCACGGTTGAAATTGCGCATACTGTTCTGGCACACAACACGTTTCGTTATTCATTGCGCATATAGTAATATGCTGTATAGTGGCGATTATTGTTATTATTTGAGAAACTGGTGGTCAATTAGCGGCGAAGATTGCGAGATCAGTGTTTGAACGTATTTTAATATCTCGAATTGTTTGAGTTGTGGGAAAAGTGTGTTTGTGCGCAGGATGATGGAGAAACAGAAACGTGGAGGAAATATATTATCGAGCTTAAACGAGAAATGGCTTTGTATAATTTAAGGTTTGTTTGTTTGCTTGCAAAGTAACGTTAAAATTAGATTTATTCTAGATATGATTGATAATGATTGTTCAAATAGCCAACACGTAAATTCAAATAGACGTGACACGTTCGTTCGTGCAATTAATTAGATCGGTTTGATTTGTTGTGCGTTCGTTTTGTTACGGATCCGCGTATTTCTCGCATGAATATATATGGCGGGAAACAGGTAACTTGTAAGTCCTCTTTAATTACCAGAGTGTCAAGTTTCGCAAAGTTGTTGGAAGTTTAATGTCGGTTATTAACGCGATAAACCGTGTTGACAAGGTTTGGATGATTAATGGTCGAGTGATCGGGTCAATAGCTTGGATTCATATATTAATTTACATGCTCAAAATGCTTGTTCAATACTCGTGTGATCTCGATACACACAATTTCCTCCCCAAATTAATCATCGATTAAAACGTTAACGAAACTGTTGATGATTGGAAGGAAAATTCCTCTTGAGATACGATTCGAGTACGTATCTGAAATCTTGGAAAAATGAATATTTATGTCAGTCATATATACTTTCAAGAATCCAATCCAATTTTTTGGATTTTGAATACGATTATGAATTGAAATTGAGCGAATTTTGGAAAAGCCAATATTTTTGAGAATTCAACTTGATTTCACTATCAATTATTCGAAAATTTTTTGATTTTGAATATGATTATGAATTGAAATTGAGCGAATTTTGGAAAAGCCAATATTTTTGAGAATTCACCTGATTCGAGTATCGGTTATTCGAAAATTTTTTGGATTTTGAATACGATTATGAATTGAAATTGAGCAAATTTTGGAAAAGCCAATATTTTTGAGAATTCACCTGATTCGAGTTATTCGAAAATTTTTTGAATTTTGAATACGATTATGAGTTGAAATTGAATGAATTTTCGAAGCTTCGAATATTGGATTGTCTAAAATCTCGGGAAATTCGATATGTGTTACAGGATACTTTTAAGAATCTGAATCAATCCGATCCAATTACCCGAAATGTTCAGTTTCTAATATATCTCTGTACAATTGTAAGTGTTTATAAACAGGCGTGAGTGAATATTCAACAAAGTTCATCACTTTCGATCCAATTCCAAATATCGAACACTCGAAATTTTCAAGGTTCAGCGCACCTCTATCGAAAACAACGAAACGCTCGTCGAGTGAGTTTTTATTAAATCTTGCCAATCCATAAAACTCGATCAAAATTTTCGAATTTTCTTGAACATCTCCTCCTTGAACGTTAAAATCCATATCGTTCTCGATACGATTGGGAAGAATTGTTGAACAGAAATTTTTTTTTCACAGATAATAAATTTCGCGGGATGACGTATTATAATTACTTCGAGCACAAGCACGCCACCTAATAAGATGCGAGGTTGATACACGTGGAACTGGCAACTGTTGTGGATGTAGTTACTTGCGCCCTTAATATCCTAAACCATAACGTTGCCGGCAGTGATTTGTGACAACGATAAATTCCCCTCCAACTTAAGTCCCGATACGATTTACGATTTACTGTAATTTGTAGCTTGTGTATATACAAGGAAATAATAGCTATCCGTTTATGCTGTTAAATATTTCGAGTCGTACATCGATCGAACGAACCAATTATCCGGTTGTGAATCCGTCGATGGGATCGATTATGTGAATCTTTCTCAGAAAACGTGGGTTCGAAATGCGTGACGGAATGTTGGAACGCGTTTAGAATTCGATATCATGGCTCGTCTCTCGATGAATCTATCGATGTTTCGTATTAATTGTGTGATTAATTTTTACATCAAGTTGAAAAATATATTGTCGCGTTTTCGTTATTTTATTCCGAGAGAAAAGAATTTTCAAAATGAAGAAAAGAGGCTGGATCTTGGTTAAAAATGGGGTTTATACGTTATTATAAGAGAATATTGACGGTCTCCTCTTTTGATACCCCCTTTTTTCAATCGCTGAGAAAACCTGTCCATTTCTAAATTTCTTCCTCCTCATTTTCTCTGCCAGGCCTTAATTGTTCGCGTTAGTTACAGAATTAACGAGGTTATCGCTGTGATCAACGGTTAAGAACGTAATCTAACTCCAATAGGTCTTTAATCTTCCAACATCCGTTCCATTTATCACCTAATCTAACCTAACCTAACCAAACTTTCCGCGCATAAACATCGGTTTCTCCTTTCACACCAAACCCATCATCATTATATCAATCCCATTCATCGTGTAAAACGAAATAAAAACCAAAAAAAAAAAAAGAAAAAAATTCTTCATACAAAACAGCTTCTATTCCAAAAACAAAGACTCGAATTCCTTCTTTCAAATTTCTTCTTTGAAAATTCGAACGACTCGAGACACTCGACGAGTAGATAATAGACGTAATTTGTTCGTTTTGTTGCAAAGATCCAAGTTTATCGTCGACGCGCTTGCCGCCGAAATTGCTAAGCTAAGCTCCGCCCACTTTCAGGGAAATGCGTGCGCGCTCGCCACGGCGTAGTAAAAAATCCGCTGACTCGGCTCGATGGGCCGTGGAGTGGGGGAAGGTTAGGTCAATGATGCGTGCGAGCGAGAGGGATGCCGCATTGAGAATCCGTTACGAGGGACGAAACGGTTATCTCTGTTGAAACGAAAAGAAGCGTTTTAAAGGGGAAGCCTCCTTGCTCTTCAATTGTCAACGGAAATGTATTCAATAGAGTCGATCGATAAATTAGGCGATAACTTTTGAATTTTTGTGCCAACTTGAACAACGATATTATTATTGTAAATTAAAAAATATCGAATTATTTGTAATAAGACAAGAAAAGAGGAATTTGATGTTGAATCGTAAATTTACGAATTTATTAACATTTTGTTGCACAAATATATATATATATCGCACGTACTTTGAACACATTATATTTTCTTTATGAATTGAATATTTGAATACTTGTTTTCAGTTGTATAATAATTCGTTTCCTTTTCTTTCTTTTATTCACAGCTTTTTATCCGAAGAAAAAAAAGAAAAAGAAAAATGAATTTTTCCTTCAAAAATTTTTATCGAAAATACATACTTGCGTTTCTTCGTCTCAGCTTAATTTTCGTTTGTGCGTTTCAACAGGGGGAGGAGAGCCAGTACGACGAGGATGGAGTGTTCGAGTGTCTTCCCTGTGCCGAGGGTTGCGAATCCTGCGAGGACGACTCCCCGTGCGTGGTATCCTTGAACTGGCTGATGAGAACCGCGATTCTCATCCTGGAGTGCTGTGTCATCGCCTGTTTGCCGGCGGTCGCCCTTTTCACTTGGAAATACGGGAACGTGAAGGCAAGTGGGCTGCCTTTTTTACAATAACGGATGAATAGATTTTTTTTTTGTTGTTCTCACGACAGGAGGTGTAATTTAATTTTTAAAAAAGGAGGATAGTTCATTATGTTCGTAATTTTTTTTTTTTTTCCTCTTTTCCTTTCTTTTATCATAGAATGATTTTAAAGCTTGGTCAATTAAGGAGAGAGAAAGAGAAGAAGGTTGGAGGAAAAATGGCGTATTCGTCGAAAGAAATTCCATTAGCAGAATTTTTTTTCGTAACATGGGATAGATTCTTGGTTTTTATCGATCAAAGGTGGTTGGACGAAAAATGGCGGGTAAAATGAGCCTCAACTCAAGAGAATCATTCGTGGATAAATTTATTTCCATCGATATATTTAATCTATAAAATTTATCGTAAAGATTTTTTAAGCAAAACTATGGATGATGAAATTTTATTTATATCACAATTCCTTTCCTTTTTTTCTTAATTGACGCAATCGTTGAAAATAATCGAAACTTGCATATCTTTAAACCGATCATCTTAATCTCAAAACTTGAGATTGCCTTTTGAGTCAACAATTTTCAAACCGGATTTAAAATAATCAAAACTCGACGCTGTTCTTTCCCACGTCATCTTCCCTTGGAAAAGTCCCTCCTTCGTATTCTCGAAGAAATTCTATCGATAAGAGTTGGCGGCCATCGTCAAAGGGGGCCTGGTCTTTAATCCAATCTAACAAGCTGCACTGTTCAGCGGAGCAGTTTAAAAACTCTTGACGAAAGAATCAGGGACGAAAGTTGATCCATAGTTGGGAATTAATTAACTCGGGGCCGAGCTGCCTTTTCAAACCTGATTATTTTGTCGTTGGTGATCCGATCCGACCGCTATTCCCTTCCAAATGCAAATCACTTCTCTGAATTGCAAAATTGTGGTGCAGTTTTCAGATGTAAACCGAGATTGCCCCCTGTCCTGTGCAGCCTTTGCCATGTCACAAGTAAAATTACGCAATTGTGTCAAATGACAGAAGTGTATTTAGAGATAAAGAGTTGAAACGCTTTCCAATTATTTGGGATCATTGAAATATATCATTTGATAAAGGAAAATTGCTTTAAACGTTTATTGTTGCAATTTGATATTTGAGCAATGATCTGATTTGAATGATGCAATTGTGTCAAATGACAGAAGTGTATTTAGAGATAAAGAGTTGAAACGCTTTCCAATTATTTGGGATCATTGAAATATATCATTTGATAAAGGAAAATTGCTTTAAACGTTTATTATTGCAATTTGATATTTGAGCAATGATCTGACTTGAATGATGCAATTGTGTCAAATGGTAAAAATGAGTTGCTTCCCAATCATTTGAAATCATTGAAATATATTTTTTAATAAAGGAAAATTGCTTTAGGGATTTAAACTTTATTGTTGCAATTTGATATTTAAGCTTTGCAATGATCTGGTTTGAACGATGAAACAACGAAACGTAATTTTGATTGATTGTTATATTTATTTAATTCAAAATCATGATATTTGCGAATTAGAATACGTATTATTTTCGTATTACAAAAAGGGATAAAAAAAGGAATCCATTAAGACAGTTAATATCTTAAATAAGATGATAATTAAGATCGGGTAAGAGAATGTATTCGCAGGAAGGATTAAATTACTTTCAATTACACTTCACGTCAATTTGTAAAAGAATCCTTGTCACTTGTCACGTGTACAAGAAAAGACAAGTCTATCAAAAAATAAAAACCGTTTCTTTTCTTAGCTTGATCATTTCTATTATTCGTCCAATTCTATCTGTCTCACTTATTTAATCATTCTACCAATTCCACTCCTCAATCCTCAATTATCTTCTTACTTCCATATCGAATTAAAAGACAAACTCCATCGAGTTTCTCACGTATTCGTACATTCTGACACGTGCGTCCATCTGGACAGATCATTTTCTTATCTCATTATTCCTCTCGATCATTATTCGTCCCAGATACCATCGATTCTAACACTTTTTAATCGCACTAACTGCGATGTGAGATAGGAAGTGGATTCTTCTATGGGGATAATGGGTAGGATTCGAGCGGATCAGAGAACAATCGGGGGCCCGAAAACGTTGAACTTCAACCAGTATTCGGGGCTGTATTCCATTTCTGCCCGATAATGGAAACTCTTCGGCTAACGAATCCTGTCCTGTCCAATCATCCACCGTGATTAAAGGGAGAAAAGCTTCGAAACGATGAATAACAGGCCGTTTGTTTCCCTCTCCCCAACAGAGGAATTTTGTGTTGGTCCACCTTCATGTCCTCCTCCTCCCCCTCCTCTCGATAATTGCTCGTCTCGAATTCGCATTTTTGAAAAATAATCGCGTGAGCCAGTGGAAACAGGCATGTTGTCCACCTTCCTCTCCAGGAAATTAAAATCTCGAGTCCATCGAATCGAAAACCTATAGACCTAGCTTTTTCATCTTTGAACTCTGCTGATTTTGAGATTTATTTTTTTTTTTTTTAGGGAAGAGTGGAGGAAAGATACAAGGAATTAAGGAGAAAATTTTACAAACAATGTTGTATTTTGGATCCTATATGCGAAGAGATATTTAAAATACTTAAAAAAAAGAATTATTTGTGAATAAGACATTTGGGGAAAATATTTTGCAAAGGTAAATGGATCGATTGATCTTTATTTCACTCTTGATTGTGATATTATTTGTTTAAGGGAAAAGTGGAGGAAGAGAAAACGATGAAGTAAATCTAAGGAATCTGAGAAAATTTTAGGAGTAGTTAGAGAGTAATATGATATAATATTGTGTTTTGTTAAGTGATGAGGAAGTTGCAAAGAGAAGATGACGAGATATTTAAAAAAGATATAGATTTTTAATTCTACTGATTTTATGAAATTATTTTTCTCAAAGTGGAGGATAGATCTAAGAAATCTAAGAAAATTTTAGGGAACAGTTATTAAGAGGAAGTGTGCAATGCAATGAGAAAATGACGAAGTATTTAAGATACTTAAAAAAGAACTATCTCTGAAAGAATTTGACAAGTTGAATTAAGAAAACAATGCATAAGACATTTGGAAAAATATTTCTAAAAGAAAGGATAAATGGATCGATTGATCTTTCATGATTTCACTCTTGATTGTGAGATTATTTGTTTCAGAGAAAAGTAGTTGTAAGAGTAGTTATAATATTGAATCATATGTGTGAAGAGGAAGTGTGCATCTGGGTGTACGAGAAAACTAGGTATATAAGATGCTTAAAAAAAAGATATTTGCGAAAAAACTTGACAAGTTGAATTAATTGAGAAAATAAGACATACGAGACAAATATTCGAACAAATATTTGCAAAAGAAGTGGTGAAGATCGTTCGGGACGAAATATATAAAGAGAAATTTGTGAAATTGAAGATAGAAACGCAGAAAGATAATAGCAGAGTTTACAGGGATTGGATGAAATAAAGTTTTAACGAATTCTAAACAAATTCTGGATAAATCAGGATGTGGCCTTAATCCATCAAGTCCAACGAGAGACGGTAACGGAATTACCTTCCAATCTAAAAGACTATCGAGAGTCCGGGTTGATAAATTCGCTTTAATTAACCGGAAACAAGCGGGAACCTAAGCTTCGAGGCAGTTTTTGGCAACTATCGAGTTGTTATGGGAATTTATTACGCGAATAGCCCAAAGACAGAATTGTTCCCACCCGTTTCGCAAGTTTGTGCCACCAAGTCGGTGCTGATAAGATTTCGACAGATTATGAAACTCTTCCACTAACTAATATACAAGTTTCACGTAATAGTAAACTTAACCCTTCCTCCATCTAACGATTGGCTATTCGTTGCTTAAATTTTTTCGTTTCGTTTTCTTTCCATTTAACTTCTCCTTTGATATTGCACGAGTAAATATCAATCGGAGATGAATCGATACTTTTATCAGTTACTTGTCCAGATTATATTAATATTCCATAGTGATATAGAAAATAAAAAAAAAAATCTAGAAATTTTCATTTTATGTGCATTACTCTTTCTGTTAGTTGAACACCACCATTTCAATGCAACTTTCGTTTTAGAGAAGCCAATAAATATATTCATATTTCCATACTCGATGTTTCGCGAGGATGAATCTTATTTTTCATATTATTATTTTCTATGTAAAGGAACTCAAAGAAGTCAAAGGAACTCTAAGAAATTTAATAAATTGTTTTTTACTTGTCTACTTTTCTTTCATCCTTTGAAATTCACACAAATTGGTTTTTTTAACCATTAAAGAATTATTTTCACATCATTATTTTTTTATTTTATTTATACTTTATGTTTGTCACAAATTCCATTAGCTGCAAAGAATATTTTATTATTATAACTGAATTAAAACTTGTTTCAATGCCTGTTAATTGAAACATAAAAATAAAAAAAAGGAATTGAAAACGAAATAATTTCAAAGGAAATTGTAAAATATTTTTACAATTTTAATATAGTATAAAATAATTGATTAATTAATTATTCAACTAATTATTAATAACATAAAATCAATGTCGTGTAACGGAATCACAAATTTAATTCTAATAAATCATTGTAAAAATACGAAGGACACAATTAATCATTACGCGTGTAAAAATATAAATTGATTATCGTGCACAGTAGAATAATAGATTTTACGATGAATCAATCTCTCCTATTTCTTTGCTGCAACATGCATTGTCATCCAACGCGGTGCATCCGACCGTCGTCGACATTTTCGTAAAAAAGGTGGAATTTCAACTTCGTTACAGTCGACTTGTGTACTCGCGTGATACTTTTTCCACTTTTTCTGGCTCGTAAATTACGCTCGAAAAATAATTTGTCGAGAGAAAAACACTGTGTATTTTCCTCGAGAGAAAGAGGAAAAGGGAGGGAAATATCCGGTTACAAATACCGTTCCTTATTTCACGAAATAACATATTTCCTCTTCAACGATTCGAAAAAAGAAAAAAATTCTCCTTTTCAATTTCTCACTTCTCTTCTGGACAACCTTCTCTCTCTCTCTCTC